TTTTAGTTATAAATAGTAGCTTCAAAAGCTACACCTTGAGCCTCACCCCCTCAAATTTCCACCTCTTAAATGATAAGTGCCATAAAAAGGACACTGATCATGATTTCCTAGTGTATTCAGGATAGTTGCTTTAAAAAAATAAAACTTACCAACACTTCAATTCCAGTGGTTCTTTTTTTCTTTTCTTAAGATAGAGTCTCACTTTGTTGCCCAGGCTAGAGTGACTGCTGTGGTATCAGCCTGGCTCACAGCAACCTCAAACTCCTGGGCTCAAGCAATTCTCCTGCCTCAGCCTCCCGAGTAGCTGGGACGACAGGCATGTGCCACCATGCCTGGCTAATTTTTTCTATATATATATTAGTTGGCCAACTAATTTCTTTCTATTTATAGTAGAGATGGGGTCTCGCTCTTGCTCAGGCTGGTTTCCAACTCCTGACCTGGAGCAATCTGCCCGCCTCAGCCTCCCAGAGTGCTAGGATTACAGGCGTGAGCCACCGCGCCTGGCCTCCAATGGTTCTTATTTCGAAGTGTACATCAGATTCACCTGGGGGCTTTTCAAATGGTCTGGGCCGCCTTTCAGGAAGTTTGAATAGAATGTTGTGGACATGGGGGTGACATCAAGTACCTTAATTATAGTTGCCCTCACTCTCTACTTCTAGGTAATCACCTCCTAGCTTGGCTTCCTGTCCTTACCAGTCTCCTCCCCAGTAATCAGTACCTTAAGCCACTTTCTCATGGCCATTCTTAATTATCATCCTCACTCCCTTTCTCTCTTGCCTCATTTTCTCCACTAACCCCTAGGCTTGGATAAACCCAGGCCAGTCTGCCTTTAACCTGGGCTAATCAGAGCCACGGTTCTTTGAGCTATGTGAGACCCATTCATGGGTTGTTTTAGCTATTTAATCTTTACTATTCATATTAGAATATCAGACTTAACATGACACAGTAAGCATATGGCTCTTTTCATTAATAGTGATTCCAAAAGTGAATTCACTGTCATGTAGTCCAATTACCCGGGATCTCTATGGTGCTATCAATTATATCTCATTCATTTTCACAGCATGTTTGAGTGGTATTAATATTATTAATGTTTCATAAGTGAGAAAACTAAGGCACAGAATGGTAAAATAGTTTGTGGCATCAGTTTGCAGGCACTAATTCTTCTTGAACTTTAAAAGGTAAGTTATTATGCTTATGTATTAAGCAACCTGTCTTCTCCACATTAATTCTTTTTTGTGGGTCAGCATAATTGCTTTAGTATCACTGTGTTTAAGGAATTTGTGATGGATTTTTGTTGTCTTTATTTTCTTTTTGAAATGTGAACTGTCCTGATAATTCTAATTTATAACTTTTGGAGAAAATGTATTGATATATAGGGGTGTGTGTGTGTGTATAGTTAGGTGATAATCTTTAGCTTTGGCTTTTAATAAGAATGTTAAAAATTCATTACAACTAGAGAACTTTTTTCCAGTTTTTATTCTGTGGCCCTTAATTCCTTTTGGAAATAGTGGACCTGACCCAATTGTTTGTTTTGTTTGTTTGTTTGTTTGTTTGTTTGTTTGTTTTTGAGAATTTATTTCACAGAACAGTGTGTCAGGATATTTTTGTCCTTCTAATCAAGTGCAGTGTTAAGAACTGTCAGGCTTCTGTACTTTAACATGTGAGTAATCCTATCCCTCAGTTAAGATATTAGCTTTGTTATATTTGCTGGTCCTGCAATAGCAGGTCATGATCTGAGGAACATGGCTACTTCACATATTAAATAAATTACTTTTTTCTACAAACATTTTTATTTTGATTTTGTTAATTACTTAACTTTCCAACAGTGGTCCTTGAAGTATGTTCTAAAAGAAGAATACCCCATATATTGGAAATAAAATTTGTTGTTGAATAAAATTAGGATTATTAAAAAATTCAACATGGCTTTATTGCTATGTCAGGATGATTTCTTGATTAAAAAGTTGATCCAGCTACCTTCATTTCTTTGATTTAGCATGCCATGTGAGTCTTGGCAAGTTGGCATTTAGTCTGAAAATAAATTTTAGCTAAGTTCTGGTTGAATGATAAAACATGGATTAACTCTTAATGATTATACTTTCAAAGTATTTAAAAATGAACATTAAAAACCATTTGTAATACATAATGTTAGATGATTATTAAAATATTCTAGATATTAAATAGTAAAATCTTTTCCCATGCTTGATAAGAAGACTGTAATTTGGAGGGAAAAGAATGGAAAGGGGAAAATTAAGGGAGGGGTTATATTAATTTCTTAGGGCTGCCAAACAAAACACCACAAGCTAGGTGGTTTAAAACAGCAGAAATTTATTCTTTCTCAAGTTTCAGAGGTTAGAAGTCTGAAATTGAGGTGTCAAAGGGCCATGCTATCCCAGAAAGCTCTAGGGGAGGATCTTTCCTTGCCTCTGCCCAACTTTTGGTGGTTGACCATTATCCCTGGTGTCCCTTGCCTTGTATGCACATCGCTCCATCCTCTGCCTCTGTTGTCACATGGCATTCTCCCTTTATGTCTCTGTGTCCACACTTCCTGCTTCTTATAAGGCACTAGTCATGTTAGATTAGGTTAAGGGCCTACCCTAGTTCAGTATGACCTCATCTTAACTTGATTCACAAATTCTAGACACATAGGAACTTTTGGGGTATACTATTCAACCCAGTACAGAGGGATCCAAATTTATGTTATGATATTTAAACCAATCTCACTTACTAGATTTATCTGCTTTATATAAAGCAAGCAGATAAGACACATTTTATATAAAAACTTATTTTTATTTACAGTTATATTCATATATATGCTTTCCTACTATGTGGGTCCAGGTATCTAGTATTTTCCATTCATGTAGCAGAGATTGCATTAAATGAGTATTTGGTTATGTAATATGTATTGGTATAGATGTGGAGCCAGGAAACTTTCCACATTACCTCTTAGTAACTCAATATTTATAGAACCAAGCTATGCTTTTCTTGAGAGTTTTAACTGCTATTCACTTTAGAATAATACTGAAATGCTCTTCTATGTTTTATATCCATGACACCTTATAGTACCTGATGCTGATTTATTGAATGAAGAGTTAATTAATGAAAGAATGGGGTGTATGTATGTATATGTGTGTGTCTCCATAGAAGGGTGGTCAACAGGGGCATGATACGGGGAGTTTTCATTGAGCAAATATATTCTCCATTCTTTAAATGCAACTGGTGGCATCCTTCACCCTATTCTACACTGTGCATTTATTACTTATATCATTCCATATTGGTACGTAAGTGCTTTGATTGTGTAATATTCCATTGAATAGATATATCATTATTTAGCTAGTCTTCCTTTTTAAGATTTTTAATTGTGGTAAAATATATAAAATTTATCATCGTAACTTTTTTGAGACAGGGTCTTGCTGTGTGACCCAGGCTGAGGGCAGTGATATAATCATATCTCATTGTACCCTTGAACTCCTGGGCTCAAGCGATTCTCCCACCTCAGCCTATCAAGAAGCTAGGCATGCACCACTACACCTGGCTAATTTTTTTTTTCTTATTTTTTGTATAGTCAGGGTCTCACTTATGTTGCCCAGGCTAGTCTTGAACTCTTGGCCTCAAGTAGTCCTCCCTCCTCGGCCTCCCAAAGTACTGGGATTACAGGTGTGTGCCACCACCACTGGCAATCTTAACTATTTTTAAGTGTACCGTTTAGTATTGTTAAGAATATTCACATTGTTATGCAACCATGTCCAAATTTTTTCCATCTTGCAAAACCGAAACTATATACTCATTAAACAAAAATTCCCCCCTCCCTCAGCCCCTGGCAACCACCAATCTATTTTCTATTTCTGTGAATTTGAGCTGGTCTCCCTTGTTTAGTTGTTTTCATCTTTGCTTTTACAAACAGTGCTGTAATAAATAGCCTTGTATATGTGTCATTTTGCACATCTGTAGGATGAATTCCTAGAAGTGGAATTACTGGGTAAAAAAGTTTGTGCATTTCTTAATTTTGAAATACAGTGCAAAATTGGCTTCCAGTGGACCACCCCACCCTTATTTCATTAGAACTGTTACACACAGGGAACTTGACGTGAGGGTAGAGTTAAAGTGAATGCTAATGTAGAGTCAGCCTTTGGTAATTCATGTCAGGCATTTGAGGAACCCTAGGTGTTTCTTTGTAGAATCCTGATGCTTGAAAACTATGCTCAGTTTTATTTTTTCCATGAAGTTTATTTACTATAAAATGAGGCATAACTACATAGAAATAGCACTATTTTCCTTAGAGTATACATACAGGTTTTGTTGCAATGACTTTTCATCTGGTGATTTTAAATAAATTTGGCATTTTTATTAGTTTTCTTATGGTGAAAATGCATATTTTTATAATTCTTGAACATTTTTGTATAAAGTAGAATTTGAAGGGTTCAGGGAACCACCTACCATTGATGATCAGTATCAATAGTTCGAAATTCCCTTTTCCAGACTTTTTTCAGTGCATTAAATAACACATAAATTGTATTCCTTCTTTTAAAAAGTGGGATTGTGCTATGTATACTGTTTTGTGATTTGCTTTATTTAGTTAATAATATGTCTTTTTTGGGTTAGTGTATAGTGATACCCTCCATTCTTTTAATAGATGTATACTCTTCTATTATATCATACTTTTCTTGTTCATTTCCTTGTTGGTGAACATTTAAGTTGTGATGAACATTTTCATACCTAAATATCTTTGTTTATTTGGACAAATGTCCTATAGGATAAATTCTAGGAACTAGAACTTCTAGATCAAAAGTATGACCATTTTATATTTTAATGGATAATTTGGGGTTCTATAAAATGTTATATCAATGTTCTGATTTTTGTAGGAAATAAACTTAGTCTAAACTTTGAGAAATTTTAGCTAGTTGATGTGTCATCATACATGCACATCATTTATTGCTAGTATAAGCTTTTTAGTAATGTAAAAATCTTTAAAATGACACCTTTGAAACTTTTTATTCTTACAGTGATGGAATGGGGTGAAGATATTAAAGCAATTTCAAAAGATGAAGCAATGATGCTGGTGAATCATCAGGCCACAGGAGACGTGTGCACACTGATGATGTGCCTGCAGGACAAAGGACTGGTAAGCCATCCTTACGGCAACAGGGAGGCATCCCAAAGGTGAAAGTTAACAAAGAATCAATTCAAAAATCTAACTATGGTTTGGAATATGGACTTCAATTTTAGCATATATACTTTTCCTGACAGTTTAGAAAATATTAAAAAATATGTATATCATCCTAAATCAAGCCAGGAGGGGAACTTAGATACTTAAAAATAATAAATGGGATAATGTGAATTATATTTCACTAAAACTTTTAAAAAACGATTGGGATGAAAGCAAAGTTAATGTAGTTCAAATGGAGGGCTGCTCTGAGGTGAAGTGGTGGAATACCAGTTTGAAAAATACAAACACAAAAAGCAGTATTGATATGGCACACACCTATAGTCCAAGGTACTTAGAGGGCTGAGGCAGGAGGATCACTTGAACCCAGGAGTTCTGGTCTCTAGTGTGCTGTGCCCGTTGGGTGTCCACATTAAGTTTGGCATTAGTGTGGTGACCTCCAAGGAGTGGGGAACTACCAGGTTGCCTAAGGAGAAGTGAACTGGTCCCAAACAAAGCAGTTCAAAACTCCCATGCTGATCAGTAGTAGGACAGCACCCATGAACAGCCACTATACTCTATCTAGTCTGGGCAACATAGGTGAAACTCCCTCTCTTAAAAAAATAAAGGCAGTATTGTTTAAGAGAGAAGAATAAAACTGGTCATTGAATTAGGTGATCTTAGGGATCTTTAGCTGGAAGAAAATAAGGTCAATGTTATTTTGGATTTCATTTACAAAGTGAATTGAAAGGGAAGACATTAGGCCCATTTTATCCAGGCTATGTTTGAATTATTGATTTTATGTTGCTTATATTGATAACTAAAAATGTATCTATAAATTGAGTGGGTTTAAAAAAAATAAATTTTGTCTTTAGTATTAAATAATTATCACCTTAGAAATTAAAGAGGTTATGTTCATGGAAAACTAAATATATAAAAAGTGTAAGGCCGGGCGCGGTGGCTCACGCCTGTAATCCTAGCACTCTGGGAGGCCGAGGCGGGCGGATTGCTCAAGGTCAGGAGTTCAAAACCAGCGCTGAGCGAGACCCGTCTCTACATAAAAATAGAAAGAAATTAATTGGCCAACTAATAATATATATATATATATATATAAATCAGCCGGGCATGGTGGCTCATGCCTGTAGTCCCAGCTACTCAGGAGGCTGAGGCAGGAGGATCGCTTGAGCCCAGGAGTTTGAGGTTGCTGTGAGCTAGGCTGACGCCACGGCACTCACTCTAGCCTAGGCAAGAAAGCGAGACTCTGTCTCAAAAAAAAAAAAGTGTATAAAATTGATGGGGTTGATGTTTGACCTAAAAGTAAATAAATTAATAGATGTTCAATAAGTGCTTAGTAGTCAAGATCAGTGCCTATCCAGCCTTTTTACCTTGCCAGTTTGTTTCCAATGGTCCAATATTGTTGGAACTGTAACGTCAAACCTTGCTGCTAATTGTTGGATGCCAGAGAGTTTCCAAGTCCAGCTTCTGTAGTTTGAGCAGCGTTGTTTGCGTGACAAATGCAGGTTGAGATGGATCCACTTCCACTACAGCTTTCCGCTCATCATTATCCACCTTGGTCTCAGGTTGCCCATGTGGCTCATTTTCAGGATTATAACCACCAGAACGGAACTTCTCAAACTGTTGACATACTGTACGTTCATTAGCCACATCCTTCCCAAACACTTCATTGATGTTTCTAGCTGTCTGTGCTGTGTTGGTTCCATGGTGGAACTCATATTTGAAAATGACACAAATTTTTGACTTATCCATGGCTTCACAAAAATTGCTGTTAAAAAAATTTGGGCCGGGCGTGGTGGCTCACGCCTGTAATCCTAGCACTTTGGGAGGCCGAGGCGGGCGGATTGCTCAAGGTCAGGAGTTCGAAACCAGCCTGAGCGAGACCCCGTCTCTAACAAAAATAGAAAGAAATTAATTGACCAACTAAAAATATATACAAAAAAATTAGCCGGGCATGGTGGCGCATGCCTGTAGTCCCAGCTACTCGGGAGGCTGAGGCAGTAGGATCGCTGAGCCCCGGAGATTGAGGTTGCTGTGAGCCACTGATGCACGGCACTCACTCTAGCCTGGAACAAAGTGAGAACTCTGTTCAAAAAAAAAAAAAAAAAAAAAAATTTGAAAGATAAACACAAGCCAAAACTTGCATTTAAAAGATTGAGGCTGTACCTTCACAATAAAAATAAAACAAGAAATGTCAAAGTGAAATGTTAGAGATAACAACTGTTAAACATAGTACTTAAGGAAATCAGGCATTTCATACTTAATAACCTAATAGTAACACTCTTTAGTCCTTGTAACAACCAAAATTGTCTTGCCAAATTTCTATACTCACCCAATGAAGAACCATTGACCTTATTATAATTTCAAAAGGACATAAAGAGTGAAGTTACTTATTTAAATCTCTCTAGTCTAGATGATGTTTTGATATTTAAAAAATTCGTACTTCCAGATAAAGAATAATTGATGTGGACCAATTTTGTCTCTTAAGAAATAACAAAGTGACAAACCTATCAAACATTAGCAGAGTTGATGTAGGCATCTTGTGTTTACTGATCTTTTCTTTTGAGGAATATGAAAAAGGATTAATTGTATTTTCTGAATGTGCCAGTATCTTTTTAATAAATGTCTATGAATTGAAGATTCTTATCCTTTTATAGCAATTTAAAGATAAAACTAAGAATTTGTATTTCTATCAAAATAACTTTATTAAATGTTTCATAAACATTTATTGGCTTGTAACATTTTCCCTAAAATAAGTTAGATGGAGTTATCCATATAAATCTCAGAAGATAGCTTGGCTATCCTACTGAATTTGTTTTAGGTGATCCTTCTAACTGATAGTAAATCCACCATAAATGAAAGATTAAACATAAAGGCTAGTTATATTAGTGTTGATATTTTAAACCCAGAAACCAATAAATTGTAGCTACACTTTATACTGATTATAAAGCTAAAATGTTTTATAGGTTGAATCCCCTGCTTTTTGTTTGTTTCTTGGGGCACTTTTCAACAAGTTTCATTTAGTTCAAATCTCAGTTTATTTAAACAAAGTACTATAGTTGTCGCTGCAGAGCAAAACAAGATTGAAAAATGAGATGCTGGTGATTATTTTACTCTTTATTAATTGACTTGGGGACTTAGTTCTTCACTTGGCATGTGTCTTTATTTTTTTAAAGTAATGTGATACAGTAAGTTGATGGAATGGGAGTTGTGTAACTGAAAAACTAAGGCAGAAGCTGTAATATTATATTATTAATATCTGTGGGCTTTTATAAAAGAAGCATATGGGTATCAATGTTTTGGTGTTTTCCTTATATGTAAGTTCAGTTCACATAATTTGGTGCTTAGAGATGATGTTTACTACATTTATTATCCCCATGAGAAACCAAAGTAGAGCTCATTGCATTCTTGATTGAGGCTGTAGCTTTCACTTTATTTAAGGCTTATAAGAAGGAATGCTACTTCCTCAGCAGGAAAGAACAATTAACCAATTCATTAGTTATATCCTGTTTATACTTTTAATTTTTAAATTTGCATGAAATGAAGTCTTCTACTCTTGATATAGGCATTAACTCTTGTCAGTAATGAATAATATTTTTGTAGCTTTGTATTGAGGCACTATAAATATTTTTATTCTGAGTATGACTTTCCATAAACTAACAAATATTCTTCATAACATAAAAGAATGTGTAAATCATTCTCTTATATTAGTTTTTAAGTGTTTTATTTTCGACATTGACTTTTTATATATTAGCCACGAAGGTACACTCACATTTTATAAAAGTTCTGTGCTTATTAATTAAATGTATAGCTCTCATTTGATAACTCTCACCATTTTATTTTATTGTTTCAAAATAATTTTATAATTTGTATAAGAATTGCCAGAGACTTTATTTAGAGGAGAACAAATTTGAAATCATTAAGTCCAAATTTAAGAAGTTAATTCTTCATTTGTTATACAGTGTAATGTATATACCTGTGACTTAGGATTTGAAGACTTGGAATCAAGACCTATAATGTTTCATGTAGACTGTATTAGTAACTGTGCTGCATTTGTATAATAGAAATAGCATTAGATTTAGGTTAATTAAGAGTATGCTTGAATGATTATATTTAAAAGTTGGAGACTTGGCTAGACCATAAGTCAGATTTCGTCTATCCAACCTTAAATTATGTTTTGCTTTTAAATATTTTAGGTTGTTGCTGAAATGATGTGGTTGATGGATCATATTTTTAAGTACACAAACTTTGGAATTGTTTCTCTAATTCATGGAGACTTCTTTATAAGACAGGTAAGTAATGAGCATTTTTTTTCATGGTGATAGCCTGGTCAAACTGATTCTTGATTATAAAAAGAGGTATAACAAAACCAATTATAATGGGTTGGGCCTGTTCTAGGGTCTCAGGGAGCTCTTCCTCTGAATCTTTGTTCCCTAAACATTTATTGCAGTCAAATTTGAATATGCATAAATATTAAAATGTTTATAATGCAGATATTCTAATCTCTTCTATCTAGAGGGTTACAATTCAGTTTAGTAAACATTTTTCAAGTACCTTGCACATTCCCTGCTCTTCTACTTCTTAACTATGTGAATTGGCCAAATTACTTAAACTTAATTTGAGAATAATAGATAACACCCCCAAGATGGTTGTTGTGGAGATTAAATGAAGTCATACATGTAAAGCACTCAGAACAGTGCCTGCTACCTTAAGATCATTTTCATCATGATTACCACTATCATTATCTATATTATCACTATTATTTGCATTTATAAGATACTGTTGTATGATATAGAAGAGATCTAAATTACTAGTAGAGAGATCATTAATTAATTAATATAATAATAATAAGAAATGTTTTGGGAATTCATAGTAGGAAAAGTAAGTACATCAGATTTCTGTGAATCATGAAAAACTTTAGAGAAGATGATATTTGGCATAGATCTTTTTTTTTTTTTTTTTTGAGACAGGGTCTCACTGTATTGCCCAGGCTAGAGTACAGTAGTGCAGTCATAACTCACTGCAACTTCAAAATCCTGGGCTCAAGGCTTGAGCAATCCTCCTGCTTCAGCCTTCTGAGTAGCAGGGACTATAGACTGGCACCAGTGCACCCAGCTAATTTTTCTATTTTTGGTAGAGACATAGTCTCCCTATGTTGTTCAGGCTGGTCTTGAACCCCTGGCCTCAAATGATCCTCCCGCGTTGGCCTCCCAAAGTGTCAGGATTACAGGCATGAGCCACTGTGCCCAGCCTTGGCGTAGATTTTAAAGAATGGGACAGATTTGATGGAGAAAGGTGAATTGGGAACGGTCCCAATCATTAGAAATAATTCAGTATAGGAAAAAGAATCATAGCCTCTTTTCAAGTCAGTGCTACATTAGAGGGATTTATCTGATATGTATATGTAATAGTATCACATGCTTTATTTTTTATGTATGGTAATGCCACACTTATTTGGTGTTTATATACTTAGCAACTTTAACCTGGATTGTGCAGTGCCTTGCACATAATAAGTACTTAATGAATAACTGGTGAATCTGATTAAGCCTATTCTAAGAACCACAAATTCAGAAATAAGCTGGAAATGAGTAGAAAAACTTGTAAGCTCTGTGTGAAAATAGGTGTCACAAAACACGTACTTTACTCCAGATAGTTTTATGTACAGACATATTTTTGTTTTTCACATGCTGTGCAATTATTTCTTTGGGAACCCTCATTGGTTTTTCTGAGCAGAGAAATGGATAGAAACACAGACTGGAACCTGAGGAAGAAGTGGCAATGGAGATTGGCCACAAGGTCAAGACAAAATGAACAGTGATCAGAGTGACTTAACAAAGAACCTATCCTTTGAGAAGGCAGCAGAACCAACAATTGGAAAGCTTAGCAGTCTACAAAAATAAATAAGTGAGACCCAATCAAATTAAAAAGCTTCTGCACAGCCAAGGAAACTATCACGAAAGGAAACAGACAATCTACAGAATGGGAGAAAATATTTGCATGTTTACACATCTGAAAAAGGGCTGATAACTAGAATCTATATAGAACTCAGGAAAATCAGCAAGAAAAAATCAAACAACCCTATTACAAAGTGGGAAAAGGACATGAACAGAAACTTTTCCAAAGACAGAATAATGGCCAACTAACATGAAAAAATGCTCAACATCACAGGGAAATGCAAATCAAAACCACAGTGGGGTATCCCTTCTCTCCAGTGAGAATGGCCTTTATCAGAAAGTCACAAAACAATAAATGTTGGCATGGATGCGGAGAGATACACTGCTGGTGGGACTGCAAGCTAGTATAACTTCTGTGGAAAGTAATGTGGAGATACCTCAAAGAGCTACAAGTAGAACTACCATTTGATCCAGCAATCCCATTACTGGGCATCTACCCAAAGGAACAAAAGACATTCTGTAAAAAAGACATCTGCACTAGAATGTTTACAGCAGCACAATTCACAATTGCAAAGATGTGCAAACAACCTAAGTGCCCATCAATACATGAGTCGATTAATAAAATGTGGTATATGTATACTATGGAGTACTACTCAGCCACAAAATCCAGTGGTGATCTAGCACCTCTTGTATTATCCTGGATAGAGCTGGAGCCCATTCTACTAAGTGAAGTATCAAAAGAATGGAAAAACAAGCGCCACATGTACTCACCATCAAATTGGTATTAACTGATCAACACTTAAGTGCACATACAGTAATTATATTCATCAGGTGTTGGGCAGAGGGGATGGGCATATACACACCTAATGGGTGCAGTGTGCACCATCCGGGGAATGGACACACATGAAGCTCTGACTTGGGTGGGGCAAAGGCAATATATGTAACCTAAACATTTGTACCCCCATAATATGTTGAAATTTAAAAAAAAGAAAAAAAAGCATAGCAGTTTAGTACAATCCAATGGAAAACCTAGCTGAGCCCCTTACATCATTTTCAGTTTAAGAAAATTTCTGCATTCATAATGTAGTGTAGTTAATCCTATTGATGATCCTCAGACAAGAAGAAGCTAAATTATACTAAATTATTGTTATACTTCGAAGAGATAAAAATGGAAAATAATATACTCCAAAATATTTTCCTTGTTATTACAATGCAAAGTTTTGCATGCTTAAAGACTACATTTCAAAAAATTCATTTCTAAAGAGCAACATTCTTTTCCCATCTAGATTAATAATAAAAATCTATAACATGGGGGAGCTAAGAAAAAAAATCTCTTGGGACTTTGCTACTAGACCATTTTAATAAGATTTTCCAAGAATAGTAAAAATATTTGTAGTCTTGGGAATTTAATACCTATCTTAATCATAATTCAATTCAGTAAACTAGCTAAGAAAATGTCTTATTTGGGATACATTTACTCTGAAGACTGAAGGCATACTAATTATTTTGAGGAGCTTCTATAATTGTGTTGGCTGGAAAATAATTAGCAAACTGAGCATACTGAAAGGAAGAAGCTTTGTGATATTTAATTATAAGTTTTGGGCCTTCCTACAAATTTTTATGGATTCTTCTTTGCAGTCTTCAAGTCATCCTCTTTTTTCTCCTTCCTTCACAGTTAAGATCAGTCTATCAGAATGTCCTGGTTGCTTTACTTTCAGTTTTTTCCCTGAATGTACCAATTTCTCATCAATACACTATAATTAAATCTCATCAGAGTCCCTTGTGTGGAAAACTGCAATAATGGTCTCCCAACTTATCTCCTGTAGTCTTTTTGTTACAGGAGCCAGCAATTTTTTTAAAAAAATATAAATAAGATTATGGCACTTCCTTGTTCAAAACTATCCAAAGATGTCCCCTCCAAAACTATCATTCATGCACTGTAAGTATTTGGTCTCCACCTCCCTCTGCAATTTCACTGACTTCACCTACCACTGACTTCCTCATTCATCACAAGTCCGCCACTCTGGCCTTGGTACTGTTCTTTACACGCCAAGGTTCTTTACACCAAAGGGCCTTTGTCCTTTTTTTGCTCATCCCCTGGAATATTCTGCCTCTCATCTTCACATGGCTTATTCCCTCACGTTATCAGCTAGCTCTTTGCTCAAACATCACCTCCTCACAGCAGCTTTCCCTGACCTTCTTTACCCTCTCTTTCCTCTTACTATTTTCTTCCTATCATACATCACAATTGAATTTACACTCCATAGTTACTATCTTCCCAAACTAGGGTATAAGCTCCATGAGGGACTCTTATTTAGGACTCTAGCCCTAGTGTCTAGGGTAGTGCTTGGCAAATAGTAGGCACTCAGGAAGTAGTCACGGAATTGATGAATGACTGAACTGTCAGGGGCAGTCAGAACAATTTCCTTTTTCTTCAGAAAGATTTATTTATATAAGTGCTAATAACATCTCTCTTTTTACCACTGTGTTCAAAAGGGAAATAAGTGGAGGGGGGAATCACTATTCTATTCTATGATTGGATTTTAATTTAGAAGCTGTTACTTCTAATTTTATGGCATTTTAATTTCAGATGTACCTGTACTTACTACACCTGTGTACTTTCTAGGGAAGATCTTATCGTGACCAACAGCTGCTACTTCTCAAGAAGCACTTAGAAAATTATTACAGAAGCAGAGGTCGAAAATGGATTGTTTTGTTTCCAGAAGGGGGCTTCCTCAGGAAGAGGCGAGAAACAAGTCAGGCATTTGCCAAGAAAAATAACTTGCCATTTCTTACACATGTCACTCTGCCAAGGTGTGGGGCAACAAAAATTATTCTGAGTACACTTGTAGCACGACAGGAAAATGGAAGTCCCGCAGGAGGAGATGCTAAACAATTAGGTATGATGGTTTTTAGCATTTTTTTACCTTGTTGGAATGAAAGGATTTTCTGAAGTTCTAGAAAATTATAATTGTTTTTTATATATATTTATAGTTTTTATATATATTCATATATATTTGTATTTAAATATATATTTATATAGATTTTTGTTAAACAGAAATAATAATTAGGGAGAAGATGAAACTGTAATTTTTAAAATGTTTCAGTGTACAAAAGTAGTCCGTGCTTACAACAATTTATTCAAATAATACAGAAATGTGTAAAATCAAGGTGTCTTTCTCCTGCCTGCAATAAACATTCTGTAAATATCTTTACGTGCTGGTGGAACTATTGCTATAGTACAGATTCCTAGAAGTGGAATTGCTAGGTTAAAAGATATACATATAGGAATGACTTACTTGAAAAACTAATCATAGATATGCAAATGCAAGTAATAATGATACATGTATTTATTTATCAAGTTTAGAAAGTTTTTTGTTTTTAATATAAAGAATGAATTTTATGTGGTTTGATGGTATTTATTAAGAGCCTTAAAGTGTTAATAAATGATTCAGTTATTCCACTGCAAATAATATTTATCAAAAGGAAATAATATGAAGTGTAAGCAAAGAAGTTTGTCACAGATTATTTCTTTTCTTTTTTTTTTTTTTTTAAGACTAGTCAAATGCAGTAGTGAGAAGGGGGGAAGTAGTAGAAGAAGGAATTCAGTCTGTAACAGACTGTGAACAATCAAGTGAGATAACTCACTACCTTTGGACCAAGCCACGGATATTTCTAATGGCCAAAAATTGGAAATAGCCAGAAGGGAGAATGGATAAGTAACTATCAAATTTCCATGCAACAAAATACAATACAGCCATTACAAACAGTGTTATGGAGAGTTTTTATTGCCTTGGGAAAATGTTTATGCTATAAGGTTAATAGAGTGGGGGGAATATACAACTATTATGAAAACAATTTGAGCTCAAATCTGTAAACAATAAGGCAGTAGGAAATAAGTGAAAAGAAAGATACCAAAGTATTAAGAATTTTTCTCTGAGTTGTAACATTATGGATGATTTTTTCCCCATTTATTAATACCTTCTGAATTTTCCATTTTTTAAATAATGAGTATATATTATTTTTATCACTAGGAAAAAATAAATCACACTCAAAGATGCAACTATCTTGGAAATAGTCTGGTGAATTGTAAAGTTTTGCAGAAGGTATTTATGCCAATAGCTTGAACCAGTTTATCTAAGATACTGCTATGAAAATTTGGTTATAAATTTAAAAACTTGAAAGGCATTTACTAGGCTTATTTCCTTTGTAGCATCTTGCAATTTTTTAAAATATTCTTTAGATAAATAAGAATTGAAGTGATTGGCCCTCAGAAATATGTGTTTTTAAATGCAGTAAGGACCAGATATAGAAATAATGCCCGGGAGATTTAACTCGTTTTCCTTTCATTTGTTTTTCTCCAAGCAGCTGCTTGGCAGTCAGCTCTCTTAATCTTTCGTCATCTATTAAAAAGACAAATTGAGAGTCTTTTAATAGAAAAAGAAAGTTCAGAATAGCTTCACTGCTGGAGAGACACTGTGGCAATGTCAGCCAAGCCAAAGCTTGAAGGCAAATGTCTTCCAAACAGGATTAGTTGCTCTAATAAAGACTGCTGTTTTAAAATAGTTCCACCCAGTCAATACCCTGTTCTAGATCTCAAAGGTAGGGGCAATCGTCATACTGATTGCATAACAGTGAAGAAAAATGTTTTTTTTTTTTTCCTTTGGGAGATAAATAATTTCTCTGTATAACCAAAGCAGAGTAGTTTATTTTTTATCCTACCTTAATTAAAAATTTTTATTCTAGCTCTTTAGAAAAAAATCATAAGTATACCTAATAACTAGTTTTACCTGCATTTTACTATTTTCTTCTGTATGTTTTGGTATTTTGCATTTTATTTTCGTTAGTGTTCATATTCACAAGCATTTTATTCCCTGTAAACACAAACCATGCCTATGTTTAATATGTGATTTATATACCTAGATCAAAATTAAGTTTTATCTGATTAACTTTAAAAGGATTAGTATTTTTTGTTGTTTATCATATGATTTAACAGATATTAAACTGAACTGGTCATTTTTTCAGTATCATTTTATTATAAAAATATTCAAACAAAAGTTGGAAGAAATTTACAGTAGATATACATGAGTTGATCAACTAGATCTTATAATTAACATTTTAATATATTTGCTTTATCACATCTCTCTCTATCCTTCTATCCATCCATTAGTCCATCTTGGTTTCTTCTTTTTAATACATCTCAAAATAAGCTGCAGGCATCAGTTTACTTTATTCCTAAACACTTCAGCATGTATCTCATTGGTAGCTGTCCTTTAGCAATACCTCTTATTTAAAAATTAATTTTTTTACTAGTTTCTTTTTTGCTTGTTTTTTCTTTCTTCACAATGTTGTTCTAAATCTTTAAAGAATTTAAGGCCAGTTTTAATATTTGACATACAAAAGTAATATATCACTGGTTCCTAGCACACATTTGGACTTACGCTTGAAAATTAGTTTTCTTTTTTCTCTTCAAACAAAGACTAGACCATTGCACTTTAAAGTTAGGCTATCAGCAGACTCAATTCTTGCTCAACTTTATTCCATACCAGGAATAAAAACACTATGCAAAGGATCAAACTAAACCAAACCTCCCTATCCCCTCTCCACAACAGCAGTTACCTGTTGTACTTTACAAAGGGAAGGAAGGTTTATTGCTTTATTTATATATATTAATAACTTTTGCTAAAATAGGGGGAGTTTTTTTTTTACTTTGTTTAAACGAGCAGCAACTGATAATGTATGTCCAAAAGGTGCTTAATTTTATTGCCATATTCCAGTATTTATTAATGTCTCCCAAGTGTCATGAATCTTGATGTTTATATTGTATTAGATTATATTTAGTGAACATACTTGCTTTGAAGTCTGTTTTTCATTTTTGTGATATGATACTTTGGTTTCTGACTCTCTCATAGGCCAGTTGTTTTATAGGAGTGTTAAATATAAATTAGACCTTCGTAGTGCATAATTATATTGAATACTTGAATGGTGCCTGTCCAGTGAGTAATAATGTTCTGTTGTTTATTAATTTGTTTTGAGGTTTGTCCATTTTATAACATAATAGACACTGCTTAATTTCATCTTAAGTGCATTATAAGACAATAACACCAAGGTTTATCCTGTTTTCTTAAAGCAAAAGGTAAATTGATATGCTTTACACTACTCAAGTAAACTATGTTATTTGCTGCGGATAATATAAAATTTGATCTAATATTAAGCTGTTTTTCTTCTTTGTTCTCAGGCAGCAAATCAAAGGGCCTCCAGTGGATAATAGATACAACTATAGCCTATCCTAAAGCTGAACCTATAGATATTCAAACCTGGATTCTTGGATACAGGAAACCAACAGTGACACATGTACATTACAGGTAAAAATTCTTTATTAGTATTCAGGGTATATCCAACAATACTACCTCAAGACACTGCGAATGTTTTAATATTTAGTTTTTAGTCAGTGGAAATAGTTCACTCAAAAATATGAAAATATCAGTTGAAGTAATTTTTTTCACTGAGTGTTAAACATGTCTACAAATAACATTCTAGAGCCACTATGATTATTTGATTACCTAAAACTTTTGAGTAAAAGTCAACTTAAAGAGCAAACATCAAGGACATATATATACACACACACATGCATGCACACACACATACTCAGATTAAGAAGATATGTATTAATAGAGATAGAATTGTTTTTTTCTTTTGAGACAGAATCTTGCTCTGTTGCCTGGGTTAGAGTAGAGTGCTGTGACGTCAGCCTAGCTCACAGCAACCTCTAACCTCTGGGCTCAAGAGATCCTCCTGCCTCAGCCTCCCGAGTAGCTGGGAGTACAGGCATACGCCACCATGTCCAGCTAATTTTTTCTATATATTTTTAGTTGTCCAGCTAATTTCTTTCCATTTTTAGTAGAGACAGGGTCTCGCTCTTGCTCAGGCTGGTCTGGAACTCCTGAGAAATGGCTAAATAAAATGTTACATATTCTTCAAAGGTATATACTAAACAGATTTTTATATCTGACTGCGTGACTTCTTCACTAGATTGTCTAGTAGTCATCTCTGAAACTGAACTGTGGATTTTCCTAAAAAGATACACTCTACCATAGCCTTCACCAGCTCATTATAGTTAGCAACTCCCATCCTTCCAGTTGCTCAGATCAAAACCCTTGGAGTCATCCTTGGCTCCTCTTTTTCTCTCACATCCCACATCCAGTCAGGAAATCCTTCTGGTTCTAAATTCAGATATATATCCTAGATCTAACCACTTCTTCTCACCCTGGTCCTAGCCACCATCCCCTCTGCCCTGCTCCTAGAATACTGTGCAACCTCCTAATGGGTTACCCTGTTTTTACCTTTGTCCCTCTAATGTCTATTTCCAACACAGTATCCAGAATGATCTTTTAGAAATCAGATTGTGTCAGTCTTAGGCTTAGATTTTTTCCATCATGGCTTCTCACCTAAAAACCGAAGTCTTATATGTAAGGCCCTGTTTGATCCGTTCCTGCTCTCTGACCTTATCACCTGCTTCTCCTCTTTATTCACTCCCCTTTGGCTCTGCTGTCTTCCTTGCTGTGCTGAACATGCCAAACATGTCCCCACCTCTTGTTCCTGCTGACTCTTTCCTCCTCCACAAAGAGTCTTCCCTTGGAAATCATGATTAATTCCCCCTCCCTTTAAGTCCGCTCAAATGTCACCTTTCACCCTGCTTAAAATTGTAGTTGTTCCCCTCAGCCCCGTATGTGTAACAGTGGCAGTGAGATGATTTTCTAAGTATATTTCTTACATTTGAGAGTTATCAAAATGATATTCAAAGCGCATTCCACAGAGAGAATGTCACTTATTACATACCAGAATTAAGTTCTGAAAACCACATAATAAGAGAGGAATCATAAATCATATTTCATAAATTAAGATGCATATTTTGTCACATATTAACATCCCTAAAATTGGGAGACATCTTAAAATCAATATAATAAGGCATTGGTTATAATTTAATTGGCTGTTTGGCAGGCAGCACTTCAAACAAATAAAAGTCTAAAAGATAATTGCTGTTCCTTTCCCCTCCCCCACAGAAAAAAGGCAGGCAGCACAGTGACTGCCTTATAGTTGGCATTCAACTGTTGACAGGGGTTGCCTCTAGGGAGGGACTCTTTCTTCTCATTATACTATTGGTGGATTTTGGATTTTTTTTTTGTAATGCACATCTAATTCTTCAATTAAAAAATTGACTGAAAAAAGAAGTTACCTATAGAATTTAGAATTTTGATGTAATTATTTGAATAAATGCATTATAAGCATTTTATCTGGTAGTTATAAAAATATAAGTTCACATTTATAATGCATGACATTTAGTAGATATGAAATAGACTTTTCCCTTTTAAATCAAGTATATTGAAATATTCAAATTACATAGTCTAGATTCTTCTATTCTAGTGTTTTATCCATAATTTAAAATTGAGCTTTTTTTTTTGAGACAGAGTCTCACTCTGTTGCCCAGGCTAGAGTGCCGTGGTATCAGCCTAGCTCACAGCAACCTTAAACTCCTAGGCTCAAGTGATCTTCCTGCCTCATCCTCCCAAGCAGCTGGGACTACAGGCATGCACCACCATGCCCAGCTAATTTTTTTTTCTGTATATTTTTAGTTGGCCAATTAATTTCTTTCTATTTTTAGTAGAGACAGGTTCTTGCTCTTGCTCAGGCTGGTTTCGAACTCCTGACCTCGAGTGATCCACCTGCCTCGGCCTCCCAGAGTGCTAGGATTACAGGCGTGAGCCACCTCGCCCAGCCAAGAAATTTTTTGTGTTACCTTAGTATATTAGGGTTTTGCAGAGAAACAGAAGCAGTAGGATATACAGATGGTCCTTGACTTACGATGGTTCTGTTTATGATTTTTTTGACTTTACAATGGTATAAAAGCAATAGCCTTTCAGTAGAAACCATACTTAGAATTTTGAATTTTTTTTTTGTTTGTTTGTTTGTTTGTTTTTTTTTTAAGTACATCCCCCAAAGAGGATGAATTTTGAATTTTGATCTTTCCCTGGGCAGCAGTATGCCATGTAATAATCTCTCAAGATGCTGGGCAGTGGCAGTGAGCCCTGCAGTATTCAGTACTTTATTATAAAATAAGCTTTGTGATAGATGATTTTGCCTGTTTGCTAATGTAAGTGTTCTGGGCATGTTTAGGATAGGCTAGGCTAGGTTGAGCTATGATAGAAATTCAGTAGGTTAGGTGTGTGTATTAAATTCATTTAGACTTTTTATGGGTTTATCATAATGTAACCCTATTGTAAGTCAAGAAGCATCTGCATATAGCTATACAGAAAGAGATTTACTAATGAAGGATTGGCTCATGTGATTATGGATGTTCAGAAGTTCCACGATTTGCTGTCTGTAAACTGGAGGCCCCAGAAAACCTCTGGTCAAGTTCTAGTCCAAGCCTGACGGCCTGAGAGCCAATGGAGCCTATGATGTAAGTCCCAGTGCAAGTCTGAACATCCAAGAATTGAGGAGCTCATGGTGTAAGTCCTGGTCCAAGTCCAAAGGCCTGAGAATTGGGTTACCAATTGTATAAGTCCTAGTCTAAGTCTGAAAGCCCAAGAAACAGTAGCACTAATGTTGAAGGACAGCAGAATATGGGTGGCCCAACTCAGGCAGAGAGAGTGAATTTGCCCTGCCTCTGCTTTTTTGTTCTACTTGGGCTGTCAATGGATTAAAGGAGGCTTAGCCATCTTGGTGGTGGGCAGCATGTACTTTACTCAGTATATCAATTCAAATGCTAATCTCTTCCAGAAACACCCATATAGACTTACCCAGAAATAATATTCTATCAGATATCTGGGCATCCTTTAGCCCAATCAAGACTTAACCCAGACCATATAAAATGAACCATCATACATAGTAAAGAACCAAGATAATAACAGATAAGGCTAATTTACTGTGATATTATCAATATATGAACCTGGACATAATATGATTTAGAAAATGTTATAATCTGGCAAGTGATTGGAAATAAACATTGCAAATGAAGATCTCTCTCCCCACCTCCTTGTCTTTTTCATTTTTAGTCTCTTCAAGGTCTAGCAAAGTACCATTGGCTTTCAAAAAATATTTTTTATTTTCTAATTCAATTTAGTTTTGTTGGAAGTATTATGCCCCCAAATACAAAAATTTTAGGGCTTAAACTTTACTTGAACAGTGATAAGCATAACTTTACTGAGGATCACTTTTATCTTTTAGTCATTAAATCTGAGAAGTGGAAAGGCTACCTAGAGCTTTTCATCTAACCCTTTCATTTAACTTACTTTCCCTGACCATGAAGGGAAGCAGTGGCCTACGCACCGAGTACTTGCCATCCTCCCGCCTACACAAACTTTATCTCCGAGTATGTCTCTAGGTTTCCTACCTATAAAGTCTTTGGAAATATCTGCCTTGGTTTATCCCCTGTATTAAAGTAGTTAAATGTTTATATCTGAGTTTATGATTTTTACTTTCAGATAACTGACTGGTTTTTTAGAAACCTTTCTGATGGTTCCATGGGGAACCTGTACATACTACGTTTGAGTATGTTGTTAGGCCTGAGCGGCTTACCTCAGGATAACGGCTCAAAGTAAAACTGGGAATTGAGTGCTGAGAGATATTCTGCTATGTTAAATTTGACAGTATCTGTTCTTGTCCATAAATCTATTTTTTGTAACAAGCAGTTTCTGGATTTCCAAGTTATCCTTGTCACACTAGCCGAGGTAGTGTCAGTTAACTATGCCCATGATATTGATGGCTTCCCACAGATGGCACCGAGTAAAGTTTTATGGTGGCAGATTCCTGTAAATGTAGTTCAGCTCAGCAAACCTGAGTTCCCACTAAGGACCAGGCGCTGATTTGTACATTGGATATGCAAAGATGAGGGTAGCACAGTCTCATAGAGGAAACAGCCATATAAGAAAATAAAGAGGGATTGCTCAAGGTCAGGAGAAAAGTATTAAATAATAAAAAAAATAAAAATTAAAAAAAAAAAAAAAGAAAATAAAGAGAGTACCAACTGATAAGTATAATCCTAGACACAGTTACAAAGGACAGAGTTGGCACTGAGAAAGAATTTTTAACTATCTAGGAGAGGAGGAAGAGGAAGCTGAAAGAGGACAAGGGTTTAAGATAGACAGATTCTTATCTGCCATAGTGGGAAGTCAACAAATAAATTTTAAATGGGATAATCTGGAAACAGTGGTATTAGCATTAGCATGTGTATAAACTATATGGGGGTAAACAGCAAAAGAAACAAGAGTTGGAAGGGGCTGTGTCTGGGAAACAGGTATCGGAGGAGGGACAGTATAGGGCCGTTATTTTTCATTGTCGACCTTGTAGTATGCTTTGACTCTTG